TCACTACCTTCTTTCTCCTTTATGTTTTAGTCGATTTCCTTTTCAGTTTCCTTCTCAGTTACTTTACCAGGATTTTAATACATAGCTGGATTCTCAAGTCTCGGGTCGGTTGGTTCGTCCAATTTCGTACCACTTTGTAGTATGGTAGCATTTGCATGTCCTTTTGGATTAGGTTACGACTGTCCAAGAAATATGCCTGCAGGAGCAGCAGTAGGTGCTTGTTGTTGTGCTACTTGCAAAATTTGGGTTTCAAGCATTTTGTTGTGAGTGGCTAAAGCGTCTACCTTGTTTGCTAATTGCTTAATTTGCTCACTAGTGTGTATGTTTTGATTTAGGAAATCTTTATTTGTTTGAGCCTAGGTGGCTTTGAAGTTTTCCATCATTAATTCAAGGTTAGATTTCCTAGGAGCATTTTGAGCAGCTACGGCAGGTTTCTGATATCCTGGTGGTACAACAGGTGTTTTTCCAGGTGCATACAATGCATTGTTATTTTTGTACAAAAAGTTTGGATAGTTTTTCCAACCTGGGTTGTATATATTTGAATAAGGGTTTCCTTGAGCGTAATTCACTTGGTCTGTGGAAACTCCTGTCAAAAGTTGAGATTCAGGGGCATCATGCCCAGGAATTCTGCATAACTCACAATTTGGAGCTACAACAGCCACCGTGGTTGTAGGGGTTATAGTCAAACTTTCAATCTTTTGTGTGAGAGCATCTACCTTGACTTGGTCAAGACTACTTATCTCGTACATACCACTTTTTGTTGGAGGTTTCTTTACTGAGGCTCTTTCACTCCCCCACTGATAGTGGTTTTGAGCCATGCTTTCAATAAGTCCATAAGCCTCATTGTAGGGTTTATCCATTAGTGCGCCACCCGCGGCGGCGTCTATTGTCAATCTTGTGTTATATAAGAGATCATTGTAAAAGGTATGAATGATCAACCATTCTTCTAGACTGTGATGTGGATAGATCCTCATCATTTCCTTGTATCTTTCCCATGCTTCGAAAAGAGATTCATTGTCCTTCTGTTTGAATCCATTTATTTGGGCTCTTAGCATAACCGTTTTTCTAGGTGAGAAATATCTTGCTAAGAATACTTTCTTCAACTCCTTCCACGTAGTGATAGATGCGGACGGTAGAGACTGGAGCCAAGCTCTAGATCTATCTCTTAATGAGAAAGGGAAAAACGTAGTCTTAATGCTTCGGGGATGACACCATTTGCTTTTATTGTGTCTGCGTATTGCAAAAACACTGACAAATGTAAGTTCAGATCCTCCATGGGATTTCCAGAAAATTGGTTTTGTTGTACAGCAGACAACAACGAAGGTTTTAGTTCGAAGGTATTTGCCTCGATAGGAGGAGCAGTAATACTGTTATGTGGCTCATCTTGCGAAGGGATGGCATAATACTTAAGAGATCGATTCTGAGGTTCTTCAGCCATAGGTATTGGTAATTCTGGAAAGGGAATTTCAAATGGTGGAAGGTTATACTTAATTCGGAATTTGTTAATTCAGCGTCTTAAACTAATAAAATGCTCGATGTCGACAATTGGTTGCTCAAGCTTCTCACCTTTAGAGTGAGTGTTTGGCATACAATCGACGATTAAAATAGGGAAATAGTTGCCTTAGTCTATACTACACAACACTAAAGTTACGATATCGACTTAGTTGGTCCCCGATGTCATACCCTAAATTTGTCCTACCCTTTTGTAAGTATTTTCGCATCTATCGTTTCATGCCATTTAGACATGTGTCTGCTCGCAATTGGTTGATTTTTCAAAACTTTATCTTTTTGACCAATTAAAAGGTGACACGTGGCTTAAACTTAATTTTGTGAATATTACTTTCTTAAACTTTGTTTTCTTTTAAGTGTTACTAATAACATTTTAATAATTGTTTTTTTGTTTTTTTTTTATAAACTTTAGTTTGTTTTATGTATTTGGATATTTATTTAATAGTTTGTTATGTTTATTTATTAATTTAATTATGTTAATTAGTAGTGTATTTATTAATTTGTATCAATAACATTTGGTTTTATTATTAATATAAAAAATAAAAAAAGGGGATCCGATTTTTTAGAGGATGGAAGGCCCATATTCAAAGGCCCATTAGGGTTTTGGGTTCAGCACACTATAAGGAAAGGGGAAAGTTAATTCAGAGAGGGGGGAATCTACTGTTCATCAGACCTAAACGGCCGGCCCAAAATTGAACCCCAAAACCCTAACGTACGGTTCAACGCTCTCCCAAAACCCTAAAAGCCTCAAAAGCTATTGTTCATCGTCAAAACAGCGCCGCGACCCCTCTAAGAAGACCGAACCCATTTCGAATTTCCTCCCTCAGCAAAACGGCGCCGCCAGTGAGCCCTAACCCTCAATCGAATTTCTCTTCCTCACACACGAAACCCTTCAAACCACAACTTGATTCCTCAATCCCTCTTCGCGATGATCTGCTCATTCACGTCAAAGTGGTCGGCAAATGAAGCGGGCTCTCTTTTTTTAGCTTGTGCGGTTACATTCTAACAATGGCGAAGTTGATGATTCGCAGGCAATTCTGACATTAACGAAGGAACTTGCGACATTCCTCATATCGAAGGTTGTCTCGTTGGAGCAGGACATCTGTTGAACGGAGTTAAGGGAGTTCGCTTTCCTCTATAGCTCAACTTCGGTACCATTCAACGCTTCCAGTTGGTAAATTTGGAACTTAAATGTCGTTTCCCTCCAACAACAACGGAGTCAAGTAACTGCATCTGGTATTGGTTTCAAGTTTTCATAACTATCTATTGTTGTGTTGTTACTAAGCATTCACCTTACCTTTAATTCAATTGAGAAGCATATTCATGTCTTATGTGCATATTAGGAGCTTTTTTTTTTTAACTTTGATTCTGTTTAGATGTGATTTGTGAGTCTTCTCACAGGATCAGTTGTTCTACCGATCCTCATTTGTTTTGGTTTAATTAGTTGTTATGTACTGACTAGAGTGATTTTGACATTGCCTGGAGGTTTGTTGTGGTTGTATGGTTCACATTAATAAAACTGGTTTATACTGAGACGATGAGTTGTTTGTAATCTGGGTGTAAATTCATGAGAGCTCTTTGTACTGGGTTGTTCTGCCGGCAGCATTGCCGTTATCACAGGTCCTAAGTCTCTTTCTTTTCATAAGAATTATATGGTTGTCTATGATGGGGTTTGTATGCAGGTTACAGTATTACCAGGTTGCAAATTGTGCGATAGCTCAATCCGGACGAATTTAAGCGACCCAACATCGTGGCTTAAGGTCAAAGGCAATATCAACACAGTTCAGCAATACGCAAACGTCCACGACAACTCTGCCGCGCGAGTCCGACAATTTTGTTCAGAACAACCTAATCCCAATCAGAGCGAGGGAGCATCCACGAGGCTCTTGACAACTGCATGACAACTTATTCAGACTGGTTTTGTTTGTTTTATATTTCCATTTGATCGTTAATTTGATATCTATTGTTATATTAGGGTTTGAAACCAGTATTCAACACTGTTTGTGTAACATTCGTAGTTTGTTAAATTAACTTTCTTTAAGAGTTGAACTGAGCTGTTATAACATGTTTGGTGTTCCAGCTATCGCATTGCCGAATTGTGGTTCTGTTTTATGTTATCTTTTGGTTTTTGATGCAGGGTTTACCACAGCAAATTCCTTCAATGTTGAATCACAATGGCCCTTGACGATTCAAGTAGAACTTTTGACAGTTCTGAACTTGCAGGGGTTTTCTTTATTTTCTTATTTTTGCTGGCTGTTGACTTTGTGCAGGTCGCGGCATCACTGAATCATCGACTACGCAACAACTCCAACCCCAAGCTTATCAACATATTAAATTTTCAATTTGATTGTGTTTTGTGTGGCTGTCTGTTGCTAATTTCTGTGCAAATTGCGACTTTGCCGAAAAGGAAGATGAGTGAAAACTTTCAGCAGCAACAATGACTCAAAGGCAGTTGTGACAAGCAGGGTCCAAAATCATGACAACTCAAGATCAAAGCTCGAAGTTGATGTTGCTTGAATGTACACCATGAATAGCGAATGATGCGTTCAAATATTGATGTGCTTTGATTTCGTCTTTTCTTCCACTGAAAGAACCACTTCTGCAGTCTCACTGTACGTGGAATTTTGAAGCATATATGCTGCTCGGTCTGTGAGTGACTGTTTTTGCCTAAACTTGGCCCTGATGATTATAATGTATAGCAGTGATTGGCACTGGTTTAGGACATTGCTGATGTTAGTATTATTCATTTTCAATTCAATGATGTCTGTTTACACCTGGTTTTTGATGAAATTTCATTAGAGGTATTATTTTGAATATTCGGCGCGGTGGTTGCTTATGTCCCGTTTCGGCCAGTTAGGTGCCTTCTTATTCAGATTAAAGAAGGCTGCTGTTAATTATAACTTAGGTTGTAGTGAGTATTTATTTACCGGCTGAGATTTAAGAATGATATTTTGCTCATATATGTTGTTGCGCGTCAAATTTCACCGCGGCTTTAATATGATTGTATAGCAGCATCTGAAGAGAGCATGGGTCATGTATATGCTAGGATTGCTCTATTTAATTTCAATCTTTGTTTTGGTTTCTCGTATTGCTTGTTGGTGTGCTTATTTATGTACAGGTTGAGAGGTGATTAACAATATTGGCTCGATTCAACACAGAAACACCAGATCCATATGACCCAATAGTTCCATAATATCGAAAGTGTACGGTCATAAGCAACAACAACAACGTTGTTTCTTTCTCACACAGACTGTTAACAGCTCTTTCTGTTCAACGAGGACAACGCCGAACTTCGATGAGCTCAACAGCAAAACAGTTCATTATCGCTTTTCACATCTTTACTCTTATCCGATTTGATTTTGTTGCGGTTATGGTGAATATGCTCTGCTTTTGGCTGTCATTATGATTGTGGTTCGTTTGTAAGTCGTAGCCAGTTTGCTTACTCAAATCATATTGTCCCACGTGCGAGTTCTTGCAATTTGATTCTTCAAATGAGACCTTCTTTTGTTGGATTCATCAGAATACTTGTCCTTGTTTTTGTTTCTGTTTGCTGTTGCAGCTCTTGTACCGATGGAAGTACTAAAGCGCAGAGAACTTTAGCAATCATAAAGCCGGATGGGTTGCTCGGTAACTACACAGATGATATCAAGAGAACAATTTCAGAAATATGGTTTCAGCATTGTCAAGGAACGGATTGTTCAACTTGATGAGGCAACTGTGAAAAGATTTTATGCAGAACACTCTTCAAGGAGCTTCTTTTCCAGCCTAGTTAAATACATGACAAGTCTGTGGAAGCTTTATTGTTTAAATTCCAAATATATTTCATCTTTAAAATTCAATGTTGTTTTTTTAAAAAAATAATATAATAATAAATATTTTTTTTTTAATAAATAGCATGTAATTCATGGATTATTTTCAAAAGTATTTTCGAAATATATTTGATTATTCTTTTAAAACTATTAATTCAATTTATAGTTATTCAAATTATTTTTTTTCCAAGGTCAATTACGAAATTTAAACTCTTGAAGTCTAGCACTTCTCGAGTTTTCAAATAGATGTTATTAAGGTGTACACCTTAAATAATATATTTAGACTTTTCGTTTTAAAATATACCTTTTAATTATTTAGACAAAGAATGTCATTAAAGTCTAGTAGTCCACATGATGCTTTCACTGTTTATTTTAAACAATATTTCATAAATTAAATCAATGGGTGAAAATTAAACTCTTGAAGTCTAGCACTTCTCGAGTTTTCGAATGAACATTATTAAGGTGTACACCTTAAATAATGTGTTGTTCATTTTTTTATAGATAATTAATTTATTAGGCAATTCAACTTTTGTATTTGTATATGCTTGAGTAAGTAACATGTTTTAGACAATTCAATAAATTACACTTTAGATTTTTTCAAATTTACTTTTAATTTTTGATTAATTTATTTTTTGCTAAATCTAAATCAATTTATTTTAACTTACAATTTATTTTTCAGCTTATTTCTAAAATATGTTTGATTTTCTTTAAATCCTGTTTCAGTATATTTTTCAACACTAAATTATTTCTCAATCAAGTCATGAAAAATTAAATTCTTGAAGTCTAGCACTTCTTGAATTTTTGGACGAACATTATGGAGGTGTACACCTCAAATAATATGTCATTCGACTTTTCATTTTAGTACGCTATTTAGAACAAAGAAATATCATAGGAATCTAACATTCTGTGTGATATTTCCGCTGTTCATCCAAATATTTTTCAAATAAAAATGGTGTTATTGGAATCTAGCATTTCGGTAATACCCCGATTATTTAGTTGTGGGGCCGACGTCTCATTATTTAATTAATTGATATTTTCAAATCCAACCTCGCGTTCTCACTTCTCACACGTTCACAAAATTATTTTCATACCCCACTTCGCTTCAAATCTTTTTTTTTAAATATTTTTTCTCGATCAAACTTCGAAAGAAGGAGATGCTCGGAGTCTAGCATTCCTTGTGTCTTCGAGTGAATAATTCTCGAGGCACGCTCTTGAGTTGTTATTCATTCAACCTTTCGATTCTTTCAAATTCCACCACTTTCAAACATTCTCCTGAGTCGAATGGTCGTCCGCATTCGCAACCCATTTCATTCACAATTCCTCGTGGTCTCGATATTAGGAGCACCCTCAGGGACTAATATCGTTTCTCACAACCTTAACCCTTGACACGTCGTCAAGTCGATTCCATCTTCGATCAAATCTTCGACACGTCGTCGAACTACTTCCAAACCAACTTCCTTTGGCCTCGCATGCCATTCTTCTATTCGATCCTTTCACAAACATTTTTTTTAAACTTACGAAAGAGGGATATTCTCAGAATCAAGCACTCTTTGAATATTTGAATGAGTAACTCTCGAGGCGCGCCCTTGAGTTGTTATTAATTCGTTCTTTCGTTTTCAAAACGTCCAACTCTTTATCTCCAACCTATTCAGTCAATTCCCGAAAGAACTGAGTTCTTGGAATCTCGCATTCCTTGAATTCTTGAGTGACAAGCTCTTGAGGCGTGCTCTTGGGTTGCTTGTCAGTCACTCTTTCGTCTCTTTTCTCAAACTCCCAACTTTTTCAACCTCATCTTTCGTGGTTGTTACCACGAACTACGGACGCTCTGATTCTTTATTCATTCTTGAATATAAGATACGTAGGCACAAGATTGCGATGATCTTGGCGAGCACACTTCTACCTTTCTCCACAATTCCACCCCATCCTTTCCCGTAGTCGAACTACGAAGCTCTGGTTCCTCATTCTCGTCCGAATGAGCATACGTAGGCACAAGGGCCCCAATCCTTGGCGAGCACCCTATCCTCTAATCACCCATCTCTCCTTAGCGTCTTTAACATTTTATCCTACCAATTCTACCTTTATCAACGAGAAGAAAACAAGTAAACCTAAACAACACTCCCCACATTTACCTTAAGAGGTTCCCGTCGAGTACGACGGACGTGAGGGGTGCTAATACCTTCCCCTCACGTAACCGACTCCCGAACCCGGAACATGGTTGCGACAGCCCTGTTCCTATCCTTTCGTTTTAAGAGGTTTTCTCGATATTTTCCTCTCTCGTTTATTCGGGAAAAATAAAGTTCGGTGGCGACTCTGTCGAACCGCATTTCCGCGCCTTTTGCGCGAGGGTCGTTTCTCCGAAATGTCTCCGTGATTTTTCGAGGTGTGACAGGTGGCGACTCTGCTGGGGACGTTTTGCTCCATGCAAAGAGAGAGTCGAGCCTATCTTTTGGTTTGTGAGGAGTGTTTGTTTTTTATTTGTTTTCTTTTTATATTTGTTCTCTTGTAGATGTTATTTGTGCTTGTTATCTTGGTCGCCTGTTGGTTTTTGGGATGACATCATGAGTAAGGCTCTATGCCCGAGCTTTGGTAAAAGCAGAGAGAACACATAGTTTAGAATTGGTAGTCGAGTAGTGTTAGTCTCCGAGGACTTGCTCCTTGTGGGCCTAGCATGAAAGCTCCTCCAGAAGAGACCTATTCATAGATCTCGTCGTAACGCAGCTAGCCTGTTGCACGACTTGATTAACGAAGGGTCCGTGATTCTGGGAACCTTTTGTTAGCACCAGTTTCGATATTGGTGGTCGTGTAGTGTTAGTCCCCAAGGATTCGCTCCTTGTGGGCCTAGCATGAGGACTCCGCTCAGGAGAGACCTTATCGTCATTATCGTCGTAATACAACCAGCCTGTTGCGTGACGCTAATACGACTAGTGTCCGTGATCCTGGGAACCAAACGTAGAAACCATTCCGTAAGTGGGTTTATGGGTAGAATGTTTAGATCTTCCCGCATAGGTCGTACCTGTCAATGTTCTTTGAGCAGGAATTATGTTTACAGTTACCAGCTTCAGGAGCTGTTCGAACGATGATCTTGTGATCCTGGATCTTGTATCTTGCATTGCATCTTGTATATCATTCACATTGCATTTCATATGTTGTGCATTTTGCATTTCCAGTCCTTCAACAGAATCTTATGTCTCCGTTCCTTCCTCTCCAGTAAATCAAGCTGATTCCTCGACACCAGTACGCAGTTAGAGCCAATACCAGATGAACAATGAAGCAGATTCAGCAAGAACAGGTTGCTATCAGGAAGGAGCTGGAATCCCTCAACAGAAAGATGGATCAGATCTTCGAAGCCCTCTCCATAACTGGAAAGGAATCAGAACAGCGAACCGTTCAACGACCGCGTCAGCAAAATCCACACAGAACATGGAAGCCAGAAAGAGTATTTGATAGTCTTCCAATGACATATGCAGATATCTTTGCTCAATTAATGGAGAAAAAGGCTATCGTCCCGAGAGATCTAGCTCCCCCAACTGTCCTTCCCGCTGATTATGACGCGAATGCTCATTGTGAGTTCCATAAGGGCGCTCCAGGTCACAACATTGAGAACTGCAGGTTTCTCAAGCACAAAATTCAAGACCTGATTGACAAGGAAGCTCTCACCTTTGATGGGAAGTATCTCAGTGCCATCAACGACCCGATGCCACCAGCCAACTAGTGCCAACGTCAAATCCAATCAAGTCAAGTCCATTCTCTGAAGAAGGCCGTCATGCTGCCGTTTAATCTTTCGTTTTCCTTATGTTTTGTCTTTGTTTGTGTTAGTACTGTATGCTTTGAACAATTGCCATTTCGTATTTGGTTTTCGTTAATGTATCGTTTATGCATGTTTTGAATTAGTTATGTCGTATTCACTCATTTTTCACTTGTCACCGACACATTTATTCACTCCACTCTATTCACTGTTGTTTAGCATGATTTGAGGGAGGATAATGAAAATGAGATACCCATAATTGCGAACTCATATGCTTTCAGATAGAATCTCGTCAATGATGTACAGGCATTGCTTCAATTCTCCAAACACCGGAGATATAAGGAGTTAATCCCTAGTAAACCACTTCGAGCTTAGAAGTAGCAGTTTCCTTCGGATATTCAAACCTTACACTTAACCTGGGGCAGGGTAGTGTTCAGCTAATTCAACTCTGCACTTGAATCAACAAAGCGAAATCCAAAAGACGGTTGTTCACCAATGACTCACAACAGGGCAGTCACAACAAAATTCAAAAAAAAAAGAAAAAATCAAAAGCCTGCTAAGTCAGACACCTCAGAGGGGACTTAGACAAAATCAAGGCAATCCCGATGGATTTGACAAACAAAATCAATCCATGCAAAAGTTAGGGATCAAAAACAAAAGCAAAAGAGGACCCGGAATCCTCAACAAAAACAAAAAAAGATTCAGTGGCCACCCAAATCAAAGGGGCACTATCATCCGTCACAAACCAAAATAAGGTGACTGCCACGTTGAGCAAATCTTGAACCATCAAGTTTATACCGTCAAGACAAGTGAGGAATTAACTGAGCGTAGGACTGGAGATCATTAAGAAGAAGGGGTGGGTACAAATCATACTTTGAGCCTAATATCCTTTGTTTCATAACCGTGAACCAGACCACGTTACAGCCCTCGAAAGTCCTAATTGAGGCGAGGTTTATTCTAAAAGCATATTATCGCAAGGTTGCGTAACCTGACTCCTCGCATGATTGCTAATCATCAGCATTGGTGCTATTTCTCTTGCTATATCTTTTACACAAATTAATCAGCACAACGCTTGAGCTAAATGCCCATTCGTCTCACTACCACAACACTTCAATAAACGATACTTTTTCAAACTTGCATCGAACTTTGCATT